GTAATTGCTGCTTAATTGTTCGTGATTATCAAAGCGTACTCAAAATACTAGATATCAACTCTACTGGAACAAGCATCATCGTATTAGAAGTGAAAAGTAAAGCTTTATGTGGTCTGAGATATACAAAAGTTTGTTTTCAAAAAAAATTGTTTTTTGTTTAATTATTTTTTTTTTGATAAAACTATATATTATTTCCTTGGCATATAGCTGGATTTGAACCAAAAATTTCAACAGTGACTGAAGTAAATCATTGCATCTATATAGTCCAACCAATTGGAAGAAAATAAATAGATTCACTCAAATCCATAATATTGTTTTGTGAATGAAGATGATGCTACAAGAATCCAACTTAGTTAAAGTTTATTTAGAAAAACAAAATTATCCTGCATTGTGGGGTAAATTATCTTGGTGTACTGGAGAAACAGTAAATGGATTAAGATTAACTGGAGCCGTGTCAAGCAGCTCGTTGATAACTGTAGCAAGTTGTCTGAGTAAGCCACAACGTGTCGTCTCCACACAGCTCAATCTCCCTGGTCTCGCCGCGACTTCTTGTCCACGTGGCACCCGTTTTTTTGTTTCCTTTGAAACCCAAAGTTTCTATTTATAGGAACATTACGTACTCCGAATCTGTGTCGGAGAGTAAAAGCCAAAGCAAGAGCTTTCTCAATCCTTAATAAATAATTATTACATCTTTTGTTTTGTTTTTGTCAAAATGGCGTCAAAGCAACAAAGCCGAGAAGAGCTTGATGAGAAGGCCAAGCAAGGAGAAACCGTCGTACCAGGTGGCACCGGCGGAAAAAGCCTCGAAGCTCAAGAGCATCTCGCTGAAGGTAAAGCTAGCTAGACCCATAAAACGTTTTATATATCTTAATACAAGATTGCTTATGTATCACGTGAATATAAACTAATGTTTCTTCTAATCTCCATGATTTTATGATAATTATGTAAATCTTTACATGAGCATGAGTATAAGCTATAACCCTAATCTCCATTGTTTCATGAAATTATGTGCTTAGGAAGGAGCAAAGGAGGAGAGACGAGGAAAGAGCAGTTAGGGACTGAGGGTTATAAGGAGATGGGACACAAAGGAGGAAGCAAAGGAGGAGAGACAAGGAAGGAGCAGCTTGGAACCGAGGGTTATAAGGAGATGGGACACAAAGGAGGAGAAGCGAGGAAAGAGCAGCTTGGCACTGAGGGTTATAAGGAAATGGGACGTAAAGGAGGACTCAGTACGATGGAAAAATCTGGTGGAGAGCGTGCGGAGGAAGAAGGGATTGACATCGACGAGTCCAAGTTCACAAACAAGTGACAGCAGTAGCTATGTAGTGTGTTCGCTGCAACAATCTGTAGTAGATTAAGGAATAAGTAACCTTCTAGGTTTTGTGGGTTGCAGCGAGTGAGTCACTAATTAGGGTTAATGTAATGCGTCTAGTTTGTCTAGTTTTACTTTTCATGCATGTGTGTGTTATAATGCCTGTACTAACGGTAGATTGTATCGCTCGGAAGTTTTTTTGAGGGTTTTTGTGAGGGTGCAATAAAATAAATGGTATGCGGTTATGCTTTGAAATATGGTTCTACTTATTGATTGCTACTTACTATGAGTGTGGTAGAATTCTTCAAGGATGGTCTTGAAAATGTTGGGATTGAATATATTGGTAACATCAGTAGAAAACGAAAATATAATGATCAAATTTCGTTCAACTGGAGCTGTGCTGGTTAACACCAGTAAAGAAAAACAAATAAGCAAAGGCTTAAGTAACCGGACCAAGTCGGTGTATTTTATTAGTTTTTGTATACCCCATACGGCCAATGCATTTTTTAGAAGTACCACCGTACTA